AGGGGGGAAGGGGTGGGAGGGAGGGTGAAGGTGAAAGAGGGTAGGGGATGGGGAAGTGGTGGTAAGGGGGGAAGGGGAGGAGGGGGAAAGCGGTGGTAAGGGGGAGGAGGAGAGGGAGGGGGAGAAGGGAATTGTGAGGGGGAAAGGTGGTGAAGGGGAGGAGGGTGAGGGGAGGGGAGGAGGATGGTGGTGTTATAAGGGAAAGAGGAGGCGAGAAGGGTGGTGGTGGTAAGGGGAGGGGACGGGTCGGTTAGTGGTCTAGGGGATGTAGTGGGGAGGGAACGGTTCGTGTGGTAGTGAGGGGAAGTCGAAAAGGGAGGAAGGGAGGTATGGTGTGGTGGTGGTGATGATAGAGGAGAGTCGAGAAAGGGAAGATAAGCCGCTAACAAAGGAAGCTACTGCAGGGCGGTTTGAAGGGCGTCAAACTCCCTCCCAAATACGCCAATAACGTCATTAAAAATCCGTCAATTTAACCCCCTCTGAAAGAATTTTTTTAGTGACGCCGAGAGTCAAATAAACCCGCGATTGACGAATAAATAACAGCTGCTTAATCTGTAATTGTATTGCCTTGGACTCTAATTCTTTCCTTCTGTCTTGAGGGTAAACTAATCCCTGGTTAATGACTAGATGGTAGACTGTGCAATTGGTAGTTAGTTGGAACAAAGTCCGGTAGTGAAAAATTATTTAATGGTTAATGGGTGAAATGATCCGTGTCTAATCTAATAATAATAATAAATAATGTAATAATAGTAATATAATAATATGATAATGATAATAATAATAATAATAATTAATAATAATAAATAATAATAATAATAATAATAATATATAATAATAATGATAATAATTGATAATAATAATAGTAATAAAAATTAATGAATAGTAATGATATGAATAATAATGAATGACAATGAATTAATGATAATGAATTATAATAAATAAATAATAATAATGAGAAGAAGAAATGATAGGAAATGAAAAATGATAATGATAAATGAATAGGAAAAAAGTAGCTGAATAATCGCAATAATTCAGTTCCGATAACAAAAGTTTTTTTTTATTTTATAGTATATATATATATATATATATATATATATATATATATATATAATTATATTTTTTTTTTTTTTTTTTTTTTTTTTTTTTTTTTTTTTCACGCGTTGTGGCCGTGGCTAAAATAAAACCCTAATTGATGACTCAATGACAGATGCGTAATAACGTAATTGGATTTTACAAAGAGTTTAATCTTGTAGAGACAAAAAAAATGTTTTATGATGTGACTGAGGGTGAAATATATGATAAATAAATGATTAAATATGATAGATATATGATAAATATGATAGATATATGATAAATATGATAGATATAGGATAAATATGATAGATATAGGATAAATATGATAGATATATGATAGATATGATAATTATATGATAAATATGATAAATATATGATAAATCAGTGATAAAAGCGTAAATAATGATTGATGATGGAACTTGTGGTCGAGATTTTGTGGTGTGGCAGAGGGTGGAATTGGCGATTAAGGGTGGTTAAGGTAATTCATCTATCATTAAGGTAAAACGGGGAAATTAACTCATTAAGGTAAAAGGTAGACTGTCAGCTGAATCAGTGATATGGAAGGGTGTAAGTTTGAGGAGAATTAGATTGGAAAAGATAGAATAATGATAATGATAGTGGTAATGATTATGATAATAAAATCGTGCAGATAAATATAGAATAAGGATAATCATGATAAATAAAATAATAATAATAATGATAATGATAATAATAGTAATAATAATAATAATAATAATAATGATGATGATAATGATAATAATAATAATAATGAAATGATAATGAAATAATGAAAATGAGAATAATGACGATAACCAGAAATTCAAAATCCGCCCGCCCCCCCCCCTTCCTCCCCTCCCGCCCACCCAAGACCAACCCCCCCATCCCCTTACCTCCCGCAGGACCAGTGGCGCATCGGCGTGACGAACCTCCTCGCCCACGCCCTCGGCCTCAAGCCCTTCAAGGACGTGTTCTGGTCCTCGAGGGAGAACGCCAACAACTTCTTCAAGGACTGCGACCTGGCACTTCCCGAAAGCATCTGGCACCCGCTGGCACTCACGCACAGATACGGAGGGAGAATCAATGTCACGGGTGATTGGGGGGGGGGGGGAATTGTTTTTGGGAAACGTTTGCGGTGTTGGGTTTAACGTTTGTTTGAGGTTTTGGGTATGTGTGGAACGTTTGTGTAGTTGGGTTAACGTTTGTTTGAGTGTTGTAGTCTAGTATGTGTGAAACGTTCTGTTGGGGTTTTTTGAGTTCGGCGAATGTGTGGAACGTTTGTGTACTTGGGTTTAACGTTTGTTTGAGGTCGGGTATGTGTGAGGTGTTTGTTTGGTTTAACGTTTATTTGAAGTTTGGGAATGTGTGAAACGTTTTGTTTGTTTGGTTTAACGTTTATTTGAGGTCTGGTGTGTGTAAAACGTTTAGTTCTTTGGGTTTAACGTTTGTTTGAGGTTCGGGGAATGTGTGGAACGTTTGTTTTGTTGGGTTTAACGTTTATTTGAGGTCAGGTATGTGTGAAACGTTTGTGTCTTTGGGTTTAACGTTTGTTTGAGGTCTTGTATGTGCGAAACGTTTGTGTCTTTGGGTTGAACGTTTGTTTGAGGTCTTGTATGTGCGAAACGTTTGTGTCTTTGGGTTGAACGTTTGTTTGAGGTCTTGTATGTGCGAAACGTTTGTGTCTTTGGGTTTAACGTTATATTTGAGGTTCGGGGAATGTGTGGAACGTTTGTGTCGTTGGGGTCTAGTATTTGTCTATGTGAGGCTCGGAAATGTTTTGTCAAACGTTTGTGTTGTTGGGTTTAACGTTTATTTTAGGTTTTGGGAATGTGTGAAACGTTTGTGTCGTTGGGTTTAAATTTTGTGTATCCGACGCTTCGGAATGTCTTTTATCTCTTTAAATTCTGTGCATCCAGATTCCGAGAAAATTGATAAACGTTTATTCAATGTTTAATTTTGGGGGGTATTTGAGGTTTGAGAATTACTGAAACGTCTTCCGGGTAATTTGTCTGTTTGAGGGTTGGAAACGTTTTGTTGAAACGTTTGTGTTATTGGGCTTAGTTCGTGTGTTCTAGGTTTAGTTTTTGTGAAACGTTTGTGTTGCTGGGTTTAAAGTCTGTTTATTTGTGTAAATAGGTTTAGATTTAGTAGGTTTGAGAAGGTTTGCAAAACGTTTATGTTGTTGAGTTTTGTTTTGATGTGGTCGGGGTTGTGGAGTGTTGCGTGGAACGTTTGTGTTGATGGGTCTAGATTTTGTCTATTTGAGGAATATTTGTCTATTTGGGAATATTTTGCAAAACGTTTGTGTTACTGTGTTTAGGTTTTTGTGTTCGAGGTTTGGAATATTTTGTTAAACGTTTGTGTCGATGAGTCTAAATTTGGTCTGTTTGAGGCCTCGGAATATTTTGTGAAACGTTTGTGTCAATGGGCTTTGGTTTTCTGTATTCGAGGTTTGGGAATGTTTCTGAAACGTTTGTGTGAGTTGAGGGTTTGTGTGCTCGAGTTTTAGGAGTATCTGTAAACGTTTAAATCTTTATTCGAAGTCTGAGAATTTTTTTAGGCGTTAATTACTGGGTTTTTTTTGTATATTGAGGTTTGGGATAATTTTTATTTATGTAATTATGTTTCAATTCAGTGTAGTCGAAGTTTTGTTAAATAGTGCAATTATATGTATTCTTTTTTTTCTTTTTTCATTTTACCACATGGCATTCTCGGATAAATAATAGTATGCAAATCTTCAATCAAATCTTGTGTTACGAAAACGTATTTACAGTATTCAACGCATAGGTAGATAGGTAGATAGATTTAGATTTACCTGCAAAAAAAAGACGGAGATTGAAGTAAATAGTAACAAATAAGAAATTCATGAATCAAAGACAGAAGTATCTGAATATAAACCAGACAGATAAAGAATAGATAAGGAACAATATCCATTTATCAAAAAACATCCAGACGCTCGTGTATATCTCCGCTCAGCGTTCACAAATCACAACCCTACTCTTCTCTCGCCAGCGTCCGGGAAAGAGTGTCTGCCGTGGACGGACTTCGGCTGGGATGACAAGTACTACGGCAGCGGCATGGCTCTCAACCTCTGCAGGAACCCTGAGGACTTGAGGGACGGCCCCTTCTGCTACACGAAGGCGGGATTTGGTATGAGGGGTCCTGTTGGTGGAGGTGTTTCTGTTTCTGTTTTCTCTCTCTCTTTCTCTTCTTTTTCTTTCTGTTGTCTGGTTTTCTCTTTCTCTTTCTTTTTCTTTCTGTTGTCTAGCTCTCTTTCTCTCTCTTCTGTCTGTCTCTCTTCTCTCTCCTGGCTCTCTCTATCTCCTCCCTCCAGTTGTCTGGTTATTTCAATTTTTTTTCTGAAAACATCGTTTGCAATTCCTTGTTGCAAATCCTCTGTGTTTTGGTTCTCCAGACATTCCCGAAGAGGAGTGGGAGTGGGAGTACTGCGCCGCCCCCGTCTGCGACGTCGACTGCTACTTCGGCGACGGAGCCCTCTACATCGGCGGCCACAACGTGACGCAGAGCGGCCTCTCCTGCGTCGACTGGGCGGGCGAGTTCGGCCTCTCCGGCGCCCGCTGCCGAAACCCCGACGGCGACGTGGCCCCCTGGTGCTTCGTCGCGGAGGACCACTCGCAGCGGGACTACTGCGACAACGAGTGCCCCGAGGCCGTCGAGTACAGCCCCCAGCTGCAGAGCGCCGTCTCGACCCTCGCCGGAGGGCCTCTGGGCGTGGGCGACAAGGCGGAGAACCTGGACGTCGAGCTCATCATGAAGTCGTGCAACAAGGAGGGCCTCCTCCTGCACCCGACGAAGCCCGCGACGGTCATCGACCTGTACTTCACGTCCCCCGAATACCGAGAGGTCTGGACGGGGTACAGCACCGTCGGCGATCACACCTTCGGCTTCATCTTCCTGGCGGAGGTCGAGAAGGCCCTGACGCTCTCGAGCTTCGACCTCAACCTCGACGAAGCCTTCCTCACCGACGTCCTTCTGTGGCAGAACTACCCGGAGGGATCCTCGCACCAGCAGGTCATCGCGGCAGGCGAGGACGTCGTCCTCCCGCCGTGTGGGGGCTTCCTCAACTTCTGCCTCTTCTACACGTCGCCTGCCATCAGCGCGGGCGGCAAGGACCTCTTCATCCTGGGCGAGAGGAGCAAGTGGGCGCCCATCTCGCCGCAGAGGATTTCGGGCGTCTCGGTGACATCGGAGGGCGTCTCGGTGTCCGTCTCGGGCGTCGAGGGGGAGAGGGTCGTCCTGTCCTTCTCTGACGGGGAAGTCTTTGACGTCGCCTGCGACTTCCAGGTGAGCGGGAGCATGACAATCGATGTCCTTTCCCGCGTTTGCAGTTCGCTGATGCAATAGTGGGTTCCCCTAAGTTGCAAGCCGAATGTGCTCTCAATTTGCCTATGAGACAATAAAAAAATCTTAAAATTGCCGTATTAACCATCCAACATATAACAACCGTAGAACAGGCTATAAATTCTACTCAACAAACAAAATTTCTCTTGCAACAAATATGTCAGTCACGAGACAACCCCCAACCCCGAGAAATACCTAAAAAATAATGGCCCAAAAAACCTAGAGAATTGGAATAGGAAATGACACAGAGCAAACGCCGTTCGAGGAATTCACAGGAAACGTGAGCTATTGCTGAGTAACAAAATGATGTCAGTAGAGCTGAAAAAGGACCAATGAACCTTTCCTAATTAAAGGATGCCTTGACTTAAAGCTAATAAAGTATGAGTATGCTAAAGTATGAGTATACTCCGAACCAGAGCGAGTATGCCAGTTACTGAACCAAAGTGATTTTAGATTGTCTTGTGGAAGGGTTTAACGTGTTTATAATCTTATGGATATATACAAATCTCGTTTTACTTACTGGCATTTCAAATTCGCTTTCTAGTCAGGCATGCTGCTTCTCTGCTCAGAAAAAGAGAGAGAGACAGAGAGAGGATTTCTAATTTAGTATAATGCATACGAAACCCAAAATAAAAGCAAAGGTAACTGTAGGTACTCAGACATATCTATATCTCTGTGTTACACACACCACACACACACACACACACACACACACATATATATATTATATATATATATATATATATATATATATATATATATATATATATATATATATATATATTCATAATAATGTTGATTCCGAGGGCCAAGCAGCCAACATTCCCAGAAGATGCCACGCCCCCCCCCCCCCTTGCACCCTCCGCTATTTCCTCTTGGCCAAAGGGTTCGCAGAAAGGGTTACCCCTTCACAACGCACACTTAATGGAAGAAAACAAAAGAGAGAGAGAAAAAAAACGAGAAAAAAGCCTCCGCGATGACGTCCACTTACTCGCCCGAAGCAAGTGGGAAAGTGGCGTGCGTCCTCCTCCTCCTCCTCCTCCGGCGCCGGCGACAGACTGGCGTCAGTGTGCCCGGGCATGTGTGGGACCCCCCCCTCTCTCCCCCGTGGGCATCCGCCGCCTCCTTCTCTGCTCCTGGGCGGATGGGGCTTCGCTCTTGGTGCGGGGGGGGGGGGGGCTTGGTTTTTACTTTATGTGTATGCTCGTATGTGTGTGGTGTGTAAGAATATGCTATCACTCATGAACACAGATATAGCACAAAGACACACCATCACAATATATATGCTGTATGTTGGTATATATGTTGTATGGTGTTTCTATACACACACACACACACACAGCAAATATATATAGTATTATATATATATATATACTGTAGTTGGATAGTTATAGTATATATATATTTAAATATAATATATATAATATAGAGTGTGTGGTGTGTGTGTGTGTACTAAGTATGTATAAAAAGTATATAATGTATATGTGTATAATATATGTATATAGTACATACATATATATATATATACTAGTATATATTATATATATATATATTAATATTATAATAATTATATTATATATTGTGTGTGTGGTGTGTGGTGTGGTGCGGTATGTAATGTAGTATGTATATGTATAATGTTTATTGTAGTTGTGTAATATTTATATAATCTAGTATATATAGTAATGTATGTATGTATTATGTATGTATATAATATAATGTATGTATGTTTATTATAATATGCATGTATATATATATATACGTATGTATATATATGTATCACTATTAGTATATATAGTTATATTATATTATATATAATATTTATATATATATATATGTATCATATATATGTGCATGTATATAGGTATTTTGTATATATATTTACTATGTATATATATATATAAATATATATATATATATAATGTGTGTGTGTGGTGTGTGTGTTGTGGTGTGTGTGCTGTGTGTATGTATGTGGTATGTATATATATGTATGTATTTATGTATATATATGTATGTATGTGTATGTTATGTATATGTATACGATATAAATATATTATATATATGTTGTATGTATTGTATTGATGTAGAATATATGTATGTGTATGTATATATATGTTATGTATATATATATATATATATATATATATATATATATATATAATATATATATGTATGTAATGTATGTTATGTATGTATATTTGTAATATGTATATATATGGTATATATAATATATATATAAATGCTAGTTATATATATTAGTATATATGTATATACTGTATGTATGTATATGTATTATGTCATGTATATTATTCATATATTATATATGTATGTATATAAATGTGATATAAAGTATGATATATATATAAAATATAATATATGATAATATATATATATATATATAATGTATATATATGTATAAATATATATATGTATTGTAGTATATATGTATGTATGATATATGTATGTATGTATATTATGTATGTATGGTATATGTATGGTATGTATATGTATGTATGTATTTATGTATATATTTATTATGTATGTATGTATATTTATGTAATTTATTATAACAATAATAATAAATATATATCAGAGAAAAGAAACACGATAAGAGAAAAATAAAATAATGCAAAATGCCTACCGAGCCAAAGCTTTCCGAGAGGCGGAGCGCCTCATGCTCGCCAGGAAGTCGTCGAATCAGTGGTGATGGTAACACTGGTAGCCATTATTTCTACAAGAACGTGTCTCGTTTTATGGAGATGGGATAGGTCGTCATTGGGGTCCGAGGTTAGTTGTTTTTTAAGGGTCCTATGTTGTTGTTGTTGTTTTTTTTTTTAAGGGGTCCCAATGTTTTTTTTTTTTTTTTTTTTTTTTTTTTAAGTTAGGGGGTCCCTATGTTGTTTTTGAAAGCTTATAAAAAAAAACATAAATTCACTTATCTTAGCTTAAGCAAAATTTTCTTTCTGTGCAAAACATTAAGATTAAACAGAATTATCAGGGCAGGGTATATAGTTATGTTGATTGTTTTAGACGATTTTTAAAACAATGTGTTTTTTATTTTCTCATTCCAATTTTCATTCTTGTTCTTACGCTGTTTCAGTCGATACCTGTTAATCTCTGCAGCAAAAGAAAACCAAAGCAGTAATTAATTAATTAATTATTAATTAACAGGTTTAGATATTTGCTGTTATGCGAATTCGTATAATTATTTCAATCTTTATATTTCTTAAAAGATATCTATACATCTATATCTACTTGTTTATCTGTCAATAGAGAAATATGCTTACACACACACACACACACACATATATATTATAAATATATATATAATATATATATATATATGTATATATATATAATATTATATATATATATATATATATATATATATATATACTGTGTGTTGTGTGTGTGTTGTGTGCGTGTGTGTATGTGTGTGTGTGTGTGTGTGTGTGTGTGTGTGTGTGTGTGTGTGTGTGTGTGTGTGGTGTGTGTGTGTGTGTGTGTGTGTGTGTGTTGGTGTGGTGTGTGGTGTGTGATGTGTGTGTGTGTGTGTGTGTGTGTGGTGTGTGTGTGCGTGTGTGCGTGTGTGCGTATTTGTGAGCATGTGTGAGTATGTGTGAGTGTGTGTGTGAGTATTAGAACAACAGACGGACAAAGAAAGAAAGAAAGAGAAAGCAAGAAATCGTTCTGTCCAAACAGAAAAAACTCCGCCACCCACAGTGCATCTTCTTCGCCTCCAGACATTCAGACGACTGAGCAACGACCTAAACGGACTTGCATTTCCCAGCATCCTTTGCGTTCGAGATGCCAAAAGGCCTTTGACATTTAGGTGTGTTGATTTAATTACCGATTATGTAGATTGCCACTTTGCCGATTATCGAGAGTTCTTCTTTGCCGATTAAGTAGATTTTGTTCATCGATGAAGTTGATTTCTACTTTGGAATTTTCTTTCTACTTTGCCGATCATCTAGATTTCTTCATCTCTAGATTTCTACTTTACTTTGCCGATCATCTAGATTTCTTCATCGTCGATTAAGTAGATTTTTACTTTGTCGATCATCTAGATTTCTACTTTACTGATCATCTAGATTTCTTCATTGTCGATTAAGTAGATTTTTACTTTGTCGATCATCTAGATTTCTAAGCCAGGTATGACACGGATATTTTTATTTTTATTTTGCAGAGACTCTATCAGTTTATCTAAATAACCTTAAAAAAAAACAAATGATGAAATGCTAGGTATGTGAAAAATAAGAATATATATGTTGAAGACTTAGAGTAGTGTCCGTAGTAAGGTTAAGAAATATATATATATATATATATATATATATATATATATATATATATATATATATATATATATATATTGAAGAATTAGAGTAGTGTCCGTAGTAAGGTTAAGAATGCACAAGAAAATCATCTTGTGAGGGAAAAGAAAAAAACATTTTGGTCATATAGACGTCAAAGCGTGCAATTTTCATTCTTCTATTCTCTGTTCTTTATTCTAAAATGCCATCCTTAAAATGAACAAGGGAGAGAGAAAAAAAATAAAAGAAAAATACACATTGCGTAGAAATAAAAAACAGTCACTTGTGGAAATGCCACTTTGCTCTGTCAAATTCACGTATGCAAGATATGCAATCTCCATTCTGTGGTTTTCTCCGTACTGTCGAGGTCGCGGGCACAAATCTAAAACGACTTTAAAAAAGACTATAAAAAGACAGTTTTCTTGTAGAATTGTTTTATTTATTTTATTGTAGAATTGTTTTATTGATTTTATTTCCATGTAGAATTGCTTAATTGATTTTATTTTCCTATAGATTTCTTTCTGTGCTTAAGCGCGTAATCTCCAGTTCCATACATTCTCGCGTACTCTAGAGGTCGCGAATACAAAACTGGTATATTTCTTTACAACGAATGATAACGAAAGAATTTATGAACTTCCATGAAAAGATCTTAAAAATTAACAAATCACCATCTCAATATCATTTTGCATCACCCTCCTATCACGTAAATAAGCCTACAATCTCCATTTTCCCAGTTACTCTCCATTCCGCAAGAGATCGCGGGTCTAAAAT